AAACACAAAAAGAACAGTACTGCCAACAAAATTATTGTAGTCATTGCTGCAATAACATACTTAGAAACCTATGCAGGACTTACACCAACTTTTCATGCAAATATACACATTAAAGATTATTATTTTTGTAAAACTTGTCCACACCATTTAAGCTGCCCAGTGTTTTGCCAGTGCAGGAATGACAAGTACCCGGCAGAGTTAAGCAACATTCGTAAGACAACAAAATAATATAAGACAAAATACAGGATAACAGATCAGGAGATGAGAAGCCTGAGGGCTGCTGAAAGGGAAGAAAGGGTAGAGGGAAGACTTGTAATGATGTTATGGAGTAGAAAGTGAACTAAGTGAAGAGAGGCACAATAACAGATGTGTAGAATAGGGGAAAGAAACAGAGAAAGGGAGGGACAGAGTGGGAGAAGTTCAGAGATTAAAAGAAAATGGGAATTAGCAAGAATGAGGACCAGGAGAAACTTTGCCAAAGAAAAACAGTTTAAAAAGAAATGGACCTACACTTTTATCCACCATGAACCTTCTGGGAAAGACACAAGAATAGGGATGTTTCCATCCCAAGCTATAAAACAGATTTATCTCCTTTTTTCACCCCTCTGCAGTGAAGTCCATCCCAATCACCCTAGAAGCCATGAGAAAAATGCCATCTGGTAAGAAAGCTCCACAAAATTTGTGACCTATTAATAAAAAGGTAGGTCACTAGTAATGTTTTGCAACTGCTTGTTTTTCCAGCTCTGTTATGCTGTCCTAAATTTAGGACTACCCCCTCTATTTTCTGTGAAGAACATACCCACAGTATGGTTAAAACACTAATTTGTATCATAAGTGCAGAGAATAGCTGCACATTCACTCCAATATGGTGCTAGGGAAGCTTTACAACACTGTCAATTAACAGAAAAATGAAATGACTGCCAGGAGATAGGTTTTATATTTTGCTGTTTCATTATTGCACATAGTGAGTAGTCTCAAACCAATGAAACAAGTCCATCAAATTCCAGATTAAACACTTACTTCCTACCAATAAAATGTCTTTGTGTGAAGCCAGGTTGGTGAAAATGAAAATATGTGATTCTGGTTGTGATCAGCTGCATCATCAGTCATTCAGCTCAGATACACTTCATCACCTTAGACAGTGCTGTGATCGTTAGAGTCAAATGTTCAGAAATCATTAAAAAGATCAGAATAAACCCATTCCAGTATGGGAAGAGATCACAGAACAGCAGTGAGATACTGCAGCATTATCTGTCAAGGAAATGTGAAAGGACATAAAACACTCAGAAAAACTACTATGTGAGAGGAAAACACTGGAATTGGAAGGTGCTGTTATTTAATCTTAATTTTGAAATTTACTTCCAGGTTTTCTACAGTTTTTCCCACATTCAGGGTAGTCATACATATCTTTCATCACAGAAAGCCAAACTCGGGTAAGGATTATACCTCTTTCTCCTAAGAGACTACTTTCCACCACTCTTGGTCCTAGCTTCCATCAGTGTATGAAGAGGCAATGGTGCTCATAGACCTCAGCAGCCACTTGCACTGTGGAGTAAAGGAATGGATCTGTGATGGTTCACGTCTTTATTCTAAGATCCCAGCTGGTCATTGATAACTGTCTCTTTAGCCTTTTCCCCAGGAAGGACATATAGTTCCTGTTCTCTCCATGCCACCCACCCCCTCACTAATAAAATACATGCTAAGGTGTTATGTTATACATAATAAGCAAATGGCTCTGCAACTCCTTTGAACAATGAATACGTACAAAAAAAAAGGATTTTGATAGTTTATCAAGATTAGCAGCTGTGTCCCAGTCAAGCTAAAGAAAGACTGGAGTGATACCAGTCTGAAAATGAAAAATCCCAGATACGCTTGCCATCTGTCCTCAGAGTGAGACAAGTTCACACCATGCTTCAGGACTCAGAGCTGTCTCTAGGTGTTCTTGTAGTGACAAAGAAAATCAATTTCTATAGCACATTGTGATCTCCTAGCAAATGTGAACTTGGACCCAAGAAACTGCTTTTGTCACCCTGAGAATGGGATATAGCAGTTCTGACGGAATGAAAACTCTTCTGATTTGCAAGTTGGAGAATGAAAAATCTTTCCCATCAGCAGCTGCACTGTAGTTTCTGGAACTGTCAGTTGCTATTACCAGACTTACAGTCTTGAGAGACAGAGCCCTAACAAGAGCCAAGATGATGTCTGTGCATAACTCTGTAAACACTGATCACTTGGGACCTACCAGTGGGATAAAGGGAATGAAGGGTGTTTTCTTAGCCAGCTTCAGACATCTATAGCATGGACACTGTAAAGATGAACTATACTCTCTTAGCTGCTTTCCTAGTAGATGGAGAGAAAAATGATGCATTTGATTTAGTTTAGAAACTTACTTTAAAAGGCCACAAATCATACCTTGCATTATGTTGACGCCATTACTCTTGGCAGCTTCAGATGGCTGGCTCATCTACATTGCAGTGCCTCCACTGAGTCAGATATATAGTATTGCTCATGGCTAAATTACATATAGACATAGTAATTGGTAGTCTCTGCCTCAAAAATGCCCTTTCCCCACTACAAGCTAGGGAATGGCAGGAGAAACAAATAAAGTAAAAAATGCACATCACTGTAGGCAGTATGCTTCTTGAAGGAGAATTAAAAATCCATATGAATTATAGAACATAGGAATGAGCTACTATAAATTCATCTGAGATACCATTCAAGACTTAACAGGTAGTAAAATTGCTTTGCTCCAAATTCATGTCTTCAACAATTTTTAGTGTAAACAACACCTTGTGTAATCACTTTCTTGCAAAGCTGGCTTCTGGCTTTAGGGACCAAGTCATATTTATACAAGGAGACAAGGCTGGAGAAAACAAGATCAAAAAGGGCTTATGGAACAAGGCAAGCCTTATTCTTTAAAAGCATCCAGCTGTAAGGAACCTAACATTCCCAGTGCTTATGGGAGACCACTGAAGTTAAGTCTACTTTTCTAGACTTTCACAAGGCACTCAGGGCCCTGTGGCGTAAAGCCTTAGACAGACACACTTTACCTGGTGGAGATCTGAGATGGAAAACTGTTACAGACAACCAGCCACAGCAGACCGGTAGCAATGAGAAATCTTATCCTGAATGCCCTGTACATTAGACAACATGTTCACACTGAAAAATATTTCAGTCTCCAGATTAAGACATAACAGCTGTCACTTGAAGAAAGAAGATCAGGCACCCACTTACATCAGCAAAGAATCTGTCCCTAGGGTCCAAATTCAGCCCAGAGTTTCCTCAACAGGAATCAGAGCTATGGGTTTTAAAGACACTTAATTTTAGTGCAAAGTGGTAGCATGAGCTGGAAAGCCCTGGAAGCAATTTAAGGGAATATTATTCATGTGTTTTTAAATTGTAGCATTTGTTCTGCATAAATATAAGTACGGTTTTAAATATATTCACTGATACCTGAAATATGAACTACAAGTACAGACTGTTACTAAAGAATAGGTGGTCAAATATGGCTCATCCAGCTGGACTGGGGATGCTCTTACTACTCTTGACTGAAAGTCCACTCTTGGGCTCCTTGAATACTTGGTGGGGAGAAAGGTACTTTGACAGAGTTATTCAGCCCATCTTAAGGTAGATGTCAGAAAAAAAAAAAATATATATATATATATATATATATATTTCCATTTATAGAACAAGTGGGATTTTCTACAAGAGGTATTTTCTGACACCATTTATAGAGAGAATGGTGGAAATTAATTTCAGCGAATACTATTTAGACTGGCTAGTTGCAGTCTTCCAACATAATTAATGGAAAGAGTCACACCCCTTGAGGATGATACCTGCCCCTTGCTAAGGCTTCTGAAAACAGGATGAAATGCCTTCTCGGGATGCTGCTGACATTCTTTCTCTATGTTGCCTAGTCACCAAATTATAAATATTATAATGGCATGAAAAAATCTTCAGGCATTTGAAGGTGAAAAGAGTTGCAAAACCTTCAAGGTAAATGTGCTGGTCTGGGGATGAAGATGCATTTTCTAACTCTACCAGCAAACCTGTATCACATCCCATTGCAACACCTTCCTTCCTCTTCCTCAGCTGGACTTCAGGGATTACAGAGCTCCAGGCAGGGATGGTTTGGATAATGTCAGCCTCAGCAGGACCAAGACTTTTGTCAGAGCATCTGGACATGAACACAGCACGAACAATACTCTTGTGCTTTAATGTGGAGTATAACCATAGCTGCATCTTTGCTATTTGCTGGATCCTCCAGCATTTTGCTAGGAATACACAGACCTTTGTCAGAACGGCATTGAACCACTCAAAAGCTGAACAGGACTGCTGCTCCTGAAATATTCACAAATCAAAAGGCTGAGCTGTTTGCCACATCTGGGGAGAAGCAATGCAAACATTGTCCTATTAAATCTAATTACACTCAAACAAGTATACAGAAGCGTGAAGCTTTCAGGTTCTCATTTCTCATAGACCAATGAATATTATCACGCATTACTTTCTCCTCCCAGAAGAAAAGGTTAAACATCCATTTGATTGACGGACATCCTTGTGAGAACAGCAGCACAATATAGAAAAATGAGTGGATAGTGTTTAGCACCATATTTTAAAGTCATGCCTAAAAATGTAGGCACAGAAGTGCACTTGAAAGACAGCGAGGTGAGTCAGACATTCGGCAATTACATTGTACTTAAAATGAGTGAGCAGGTTGCTGCTGGGAGGTCATGCAAGATCGCTTTGTCAAGCAGTGTTAAATGAAGCAGTTGCCTCGTGTCTTTCTTCAGAGCTGTTCTGTGAAACACAGCATCTAGTAATTTAAAGGTGAAGCAAAGAATAAGGCAAAGGGTTGTGGGAAGAAAAGCCTGGCCATGTCCATTTGATTCCATTTGCAGGGCCATGGACAAGAAAAGATGAAAGATGACTTTGTGTGTAAGTCAGTGCACCTTTGCACACCTCAGCTCTCTGCTGAAGGATGAAGAGGGACTCTGAGGGTCTTGTGCAGAAACTTTACATGGTGCTGAGGCTTGATTCCATGCACTGAGGTTTAATTCTGACATCCACTGATAAGCAAAGTAGCCTGGATGCCAACAGTGTTCCAGTTCCTCTGCTACAAGTGTAATTTTGTTATCAAAATATTGATGCAGCTTCTATTACAGATGCCTTTGTATAACCAGTGACATGTTCAGAATATACAAGGACTACCCTGATGTTTCCATCCCAAGTGTGTATTTTTTTCAATATTTTCATATGGGCTCACTTTTTTTCCTGTCTTCCTTCAGTTTAACCATTCCCAGTATATGACATGAGAGTAAGAAATCTGGCTCTTCTTCCTACATTGAGAGAAACATTTCAGAAACAGCTCGGTCACACCAATCTCCTCCAACCTTGATGTGAAGCACCACCCGCAATCCATGTGTAGTATTTTGGCTGTTTGCCTGATTTAACTACAGATTTGCTGACCTGTGTCCAATTTTTGTTCTGGGTCTCCCAAAGCTCTTAGTTCTCCCCAGGTGTCTTCTCCTTCATGCAGTGCAGTTGTATTTAATCTTCCTTCAACAAATAGCAGCACACAGCCTTGGCACCATTTTCCTTGGCATTGTACATGTGCAATGGCCATTGTCCCAAAAGGCAAGGATCTAACAATGATTGCTGTGAGAAAGAGATGTCTAGTGTGAAAGTTACAGTCCAGTACAGCTTAGCATATTTAAACATGACTAACTTTAAGCTGAATGCTCACAGAGTTTAAACAGCACCGCAAGTGCTGAGCCAACCCTTTCATTTGTCCTTTGTGGCTGCAGTGAAAGCGCCCGATAGCATTTGCCCTTTAATGGGATTTCAAAAGAGTTGGGAATCCTTTAATAAAACAAAATACAATCAACAGAAAATAAAGCTGCACTTTCAATTAACGAAGACAATTACTTCTAATTGTACAGCTCATGCATTTTTCAAAAGAAGAGATATCGTTTTGCTTTAATTGCTAGGTGTGTTGAATAGGCAATTAAAAACACATTAAATTTGGACCCACAGATAACATGAGCAAATTCCTGTCCCGAGAAGATTACAGTTGTGAATGTACCTCTGTTTTTACTTTACAACCAATAAAGGGTCTCCCTGGACATATTTCCTGGTTCCTCCATTATTGTCACTGCAGATAAGATATCAGCATTTCCATTACAAACAGCTGATATTCGGGGGGACTCAACTAAATGTTCCTGCAGGCAGAACTCTGCCATCACTCAGCCCAAGAGAGCTGGCTCTGGGCTGTTTTAACAAACTTTGGGTTGCTTCATCTCCCTTTAGCCATGCAGCAGCTGCCCTCTGCACTGCAGGGGCCAAGCCCCAGCACTTACCCAGCAGTGAGCACTGTGTGGCTTCTGAACTGCAAATGAAGGAAATGCTCTTGAAGGAAATTTTCTCCCTAAAAGAAATATGCCTCTTTGCACCACCACACTGACGTATGCTTTAACCCACTCTAAGGACTACTTCATGATTGCACAAACTTGGTAGAAAAAAAGAAAAGAAAAAAAAAAATCACCTGATTTCTCTTTCTTTCCTCTCATCTCAACCCTGCAAACACTGAATACATGAGCCAACTTCACAGAGGAATTTGCTACCCCTTGAACTGAAGCAGGCAAGCCCTGGAAAGCCATGTTCTTTTCAGTTAGACAGTATCATCATGGGATAAATTTACATGTAAATCCATTTGTGCTGCTATTTATCTGCAAAGCAAGAATGGCAAATGCAAAACAATAGTCACAGCTGCATGTACTTTACAAACTGGGATAGTTTATGTATTCCAGCTTCATCCCTCTTTCTCTTTAAATCCTGCTTCCCTCCAACACCCTTTCTCGGCTAAAGAAACTGAGGTTCTCAGAGAGCCCTAGTAAGGAATGTAATTAGTAATTCCATGAGGTTACTAGAAGTTGGAAGGATAAAGTGTAAGACAGCCTCCAGGACCCACAGTTTTGCTATCCACCTCCTTGGCCTAAAAAGCTGCAGGACTAGCAGAGGAGTGGAAGGGTGCAATCCAGGCCTTCTTGTTCTGCATTCATAACAGATGCTTGGAGATCCAGATTGCTGTCTCTGAAATTACCAGTGTTAATGCACATTATAAAATTATTCTAGTTATTTTTCTGTTTATGCAATTCTGTGAATTTTAGTCACACCTAAAGTTAATAGGTGACATCATAAAGCAGAGGAAAAAATAATAAAATAAAATAAAATAATAACACAGCAATTGCCTTTTTCTGGTTAAGTCTGTGCTCAGGAAAGCACATAGCACGTATTTCAGTTATTGTGATTTATCATGTAAATAAACTTATTCCATCAAGATGTCTTTACCTGAACTGCTTGCATGCCTGGAGCTAAGACAGCAGAGAGCTGACTAGAAGTAAGACTGATCAGCTGCTTAAAGGTAAGCCCTTCTAAATACCTGGCTGATTCGGGGCCTCTATTGAAATCCGTTGTGGAAACCTAATTTATTAGGCTTTATTGATTTCTTGCCAGGACAATTTATAGAGCTGCAGAACCCATAACTTCATACAAAGATTCTTGTAGAACTAACAGAAGAGTCAAAGACAGTTAGAAATGGTCCTCGTGCTGACGCATGAGACAGGTAAGTAATTCTGGCTCCTGTTGGTCTCCCAGATAGCTTGTTTAGTTCTCCAGGAGAAGACAGTTAGTGATGTGGACCTTGCGACTGCCCTCAGGTCAGTCTCTACCCAGATGATGGTAGGGGACCAACCCTGTTAATAGGATGCTATTGTCTGACAAATTGTAAATTTCTAGTCTGTCATCTACTCACTCTCAATGGGAAATTCAAGTAAAAAACAAAAGTTGGATTTAAACAGAACATTTCTCTGTGCTACCAGAGAGAGGGCAAAAAAAACTCTTGTTTTGTATTGTATTTTCGTCTCATGTTCAGAAGCATTAGTATAGATAAGGATTTTAAAACAATGAATTTATGCATACATCTAAAAAAAAAAATCCTCCAATATTAAGTTGATGAATAAATATTTACCTGAAAAAAAAAATAAAAGTCATTTGGTACAAAATTTTAATATTCCATGTACTGCAAGCCAAGCAGACCAAGTGAATATTTCATACTAGGGAAGGACTTTGCAGTGTGAGGTGCATACATATCATGCATTACATTAGGGAGTGTTAAGATGTATTTATAATTCGAAGGATTGGACTATTTTAGAGGAAGAAGCAGCTACAGTATGGAGGATGAGACACCAATAAAAAGGGAAGTAATCTTGAAGAGAGCCGTGCTTAATTCCTAGGAAAGCAAGGCAGCAAAAGATAAACTGCAGCCACAGGTGCATACTTAGTTGTCTGCTTTTATAAATATGTATCAACAAAAAAACAAGTACATCTGGTACATCTGTCTCAATACATGTGTAAAAACCCAATCAATATGAAGGATAACAGAGTAGGGGTTTGATCTGGTGAATGTACAGATGTTGTAAGATATGGATATGTTAATAGAAGTCTGAGATGGTAATGAGTGTATGGTTACTTCTATAAATATACATGCGTGGGCTGTTTGCACTGAACTTTGCTCTCCTGGGCAATGCTGAAGCAGCAGTTTGCCATTGCTCTTCTTGACTGGGTCACTGCTAATCAATAGCTATATAAATCAGTGCTTCTAGGCCACAGGCAGTCTGATGCCTTGTGTAAACACTTGTCAAGTTCAATTAACAGCTGGGTCTGTTGTTCTCCCCTTCCCTGTCTTGCTGTTGCGCCAAGTACAGTGTACTATTTATTATATCTGTAGTTGTTCTCTTCGGATGATGACAAAGGGAAAGGTACCTCAGCCTCCTCTATCAGTGGGATTTCCAGGCTTAGCGATCTGCTCCGAACTCCATTAGCCTCAGACATGATTCCCTCTTGTGTAATCAGTAGGGAATTGGTGTCCCTTTGTAAAAAAAGCTCAGCTGGAAAAGGAGCATGTGAATATGGATAGGAAACAATACATTGTGTGACCCCAGGTGTGGACAGACGAACCAAATGGAGCACACCTGCATGACAAACCATGGCTTGGAGGGCGCTGAGGTACCATGAATCATCTTTGTCAAATGTTAATAGTCTGTTGCATTCATTATTATTTACATGTTTCTATAAAAAGTGATGTCCATTTAAGATATATAGGCTTATTCATACACACACACATAAACGTTTCCACCATCTGCAGGGAAAATTCCATTTACAAAGAACAAACAATGTAGTCAGAGCTTAACTACACCTTGAGTCAGCAATTGCACATTGCAATCACCTTTAGTGAATGAATTATTTATCTGCTGGCCAACTGATACTGGCATTGCCAATAGAGGATACATGTTAACATTCTTTTTCAGAAGTGCTGCTGTCATGTTTTAATATCAAATAAGTGAATTAAGCAAAGCTTCAGATACGTTTGAGACAGAACAGATCTTCCAGGGTAAAAATAAAGGGTGCCCAAGGCCAGGTTTGCCTCCAGGCTACTCTGTGGAGATATCTAGAAGACATAAGTTGAATATAGAAAAAAATTAGCTGTAAGTCAAAAGAAGAGAGACAACTAAAGAGGCAGGAAAGAGGCAGAATACTTGCAGGAGAGGCAGAAGCTATTTAAAAACATGTGTTAAATACTTTTGAAGTAAATAGGTATGACCCATTCAAAAAACATTCAAAATTACTTGTCAAATCTCACAACCATGTGATTAATAATAAAAGGAGGCAATTAGCTTCAAAAGTGGAAGCTGTACCAAAATGTAGAGAAAGAGAACAAATTCTGACAAGTTTAACACTACTAGAAGACAGCCCACAAAACAAAACCAAGGAGCAATTTGCTAAATATCTATAAGGCCTTCATTACAAACAGTAGAAGCAGAAGGCCCACAGGAGACCTGACATGACCAGGGCAAGACAGCAGTTCTCAGGAAGGGACAGCCATCACAGGAAGGCTGAACGAGCCCATGTATCCATGGCTACACCGAGGAAGGGTCAATGCAGTTTAGGCATTTTTTGTTAGAGCTTTGTAAGGAGTCAGCAAGCATGAGGAAAGATGTGATTGAGCTGATATCGCATACTTAAATTTTTTAAGAGCTTTGGACAGCATCCCTTCCCAAAAGCTTTAAGAGAATCTAGGTAGACAGATAGGAAGAGAAATGATCTCCTTACAGCTTAATACATACTTAGAACACAAGAAACAAAAAGAATAACAGATAACTTAGAGTAAAAGAAAGTTGCCAGGGAAGTCCCTCAAGGATCTCTCCCAGAGTTTGTTCTGCTCAGCATATTCATAAATGGTCTGGAAAAGGGAATAAATAACACAGAATTATTCAGAATAGTCAATTCTGTGTTGATTTCAAAGACACAAAAGGATTTCACAATGCTGAGTGACAGTGTGATAAGATTGCAGTCAAATTTAAATACTGATGAATACAAAATAATGTATTTAGTTGAAAAAAAAAACCATAGCCACACATTCAAAATTATAGGTTGTGGGAATTATAGAGAGAGAAGAAAAGGATAGGAGAAATCTCTATAGCTAGGCACTGTACAGACAAGAAAAATTGCAAATTAATATTCACAACGTCTTACTGCCCAAGAAATAGGCCATCTGAAATAAAATGATCAGAAGGAAGGTTTAACAAAAACAAATG